AAATCGCATGTGTAGTAAGACGCCGAGCTTTCAAGGTCACAATATGGTGGGGGAAAACGACAGAATGGTCAACTTACGTCGAGTGTGTCGTCCTGCAAGATATTAGGTCCCTTCTCATCCGGGCCGAATGCCCAAATGCTCCTCGCGGCCAGCAGATCCCATCCGTACTTTTCCTGGAAGAATTTGCCCACTTTTCGGGCACCGTCTTGCATCTTGACGCGGCCGCTCTCGATATCTTCCGCGATTCCGTCGTCGAGCGGCTCGGCGACCATAGTAATCTTGTTTTTCTTGTTCGGCGTAATGGCGTAGCATTTGGTAGCTGACATCTCGTCTACTGTCTCGCAGAAGCGCGTGACGGGATCCGAAACCTTGATTTCCATATCTGCGTACAACCGTCGCAGGTCGTGTAGGACACAGTCCATATACAGTTCGCCAGTACCTAAGATGATGTGCTCGCCCGATTCTTCCACCTTAGTAGTGATTAGAGGGTAGCTTTTGTTAATTTTTCGTAAGCCGTCAAGCATCTTGGGTAGCTCCGAGGGGTTGATAGGTTCTACTGCCACCTTCAGAACGGATTCTGTGAAATGCGTAACCGGTTTGAAGATGTAGGCTTCCTCGTTATCCTCGAGTTTCGGCGGTACTATTGTCGCCGACTTCACGATTGAATTGTCAACGCCGCTCAGCAGCACCCAGTTCCCGGCGGGGACTCCGTCGGTTTCGACATTGTACCGCGTCTCGGCGATGTAGACGTTGGAAATAGTAGCCGTAGCCATGTCTTCCTCATCGTCGATAGAATATCCCTCTCCGAGCACCCGCACCTGCATTCCAGGTCGAGCAATCCCACTCATCACCCGGCCAAATGAGTAGAAACTCTTAGCATCCGAGGAGTTGAATAGCTTTGTGATGTGTACGACCAATGGGCCATCTTGGTCGCACTTCTTCATGGATTCGGCCACCTTGGTGTCCAATGGGCCGGTGTAATACTGTTCCAACTTGCGTTCCGCTGCTTCTAACGGAGATGGGACATTCTTGACAATCATATCGACGAAGCCGGTTGACGGGCCGAAGAACTGCTCACAGACCAGCTTGAGCAGCACCTTGGCGTCCGTCTTGTACTGTGACGGCTTGAGTACTATGCCTAACGTCGCCAGTACACCCTTTAGCTCTTCGGGACTCTGGCTGATAGTGTGGGAGAAAACCTTATAGATAGGCTCCAAGACAAAGTGGATAAACGATCTCTTTGCGCGCTCCTCGCCGGGGAGAGGTTTCCTGCTGAAGGTCCTCTTCTTCGGATTAAAGTAGATATCGCCCCAGAGGCGCTTGGCGAATTCCTCGGTATTCACACCGGGGAAACTATCGGCGTACATCTTTGAGAAGGACTGTAGCGTAAAGCACCAGCCCATCTGGCTACACGCGAATAGCACATTCCCCTTCTCTGGACTTAACCGCTTCTGATCTCCGGAACCTGGTCGAGTATTTTCGATGACGGTATTCACCTCCTCGATAACGTGTTTTAACTTGAAATAAGCATCGCTCGGCGGCAGTCTTAGTTCTAGTATAAGCCTATCGACCTTGTTGATTATCAGGGTCATCGGAATATCTTCGAGAACGGCGTGCTTGATGATCTGCTCCGTGTTGACTTGTACTCCTTCTACTACATCCACGACCAGCGCAACGCCGTCCACTAGCCGCAACGCCGCCGCAACCTCGTCGACGAAGTTAACGTGACCCGGGGTGTCTATTATATTGAACAAGTGAGATTTGCCCTTGGTGCTCTGTAAGACTAAGCTCATCGGCGCCGCCTTTACGGAAATGCCCCTTTCCCTCTCCACCACGTGGGTATCGGTATATCGTAGTTGCTCGTCTCTTTTTCTACCCGTCCGCTTCTCTAGTCTGTCGGATATATCATGCGTCTCGAGGACCAGCATATCCATAAAGGCGGTCTTGCCATGGTGTAAATCTCCGGCTAGAGCTACATTCCGTATTTGATCGGGGAAGTTCATGAGATCGGTCATGAAATTTCGGTCGAAGTGGACGGGAGGAAGGTCGACCTCTTCGATAGAAAACTTCTTCACCTCGACGGGTGCGACGATTGGTTGCGAGAGCGGTTGTGCATCCTCCTCTTGGACTAATGTTTCGACGTCTGCTCCATATACTTGTTGCGCCGTCGGGTAATATTGCTTGTCTTCATGTAATACCACCGCGTTTGAGGGCCCTTCATCATCTACTTCCATTAATTCCTGCCCTGTAACCTCAGCCGCCTCCTCGGGATATTCGTCATCGAGATACGCGCCCGCGTCGACGCCATGCTGGGATTCTTCCTCAGATGCTTCGGCATCCTCCCCGATGAAATTTCCGAACCTGGTCAATATAGTTAGCTTAGGGATGGAACGCGACCAAGCAGCTATACGTACTCATCATAAAGGTCATCCATGGCGTAAACAAGGCTTATGCGTAGGTCAATGGGTTTTTGAGTAGAAATACGACGATAGCTTGATGTCGCGCTTAGAAAAGTTACAACTTACAAAGTCGAGATGCAAGGCTGACTATAGCGCGTTCTGTGCTTGTGGCTAATAGCTAATAGCAAATTTATTTCGTGGCTAATGACAAGGCTGAGCCATGTACGTAATGTGCTCCGATAAGCGGACGGGTGGCTTCATTTTTTAATTAACTAAGGTTATCTACCTCATACCAAAACACCAACCCCACTATCCTATTCGAGGTACCTACCCGAGTAGGCAATGTCCTTACATTAGGTACAATACGTTGATTCGGTAAGGTAAGGTACGACCAACGAATTGGTGACTTCTTGGGAGTGACCTAACCGGAGTAAGTTTAATGGATACATGCATGCATTGTACGACTATACTAAACCTGGTTAAGAAGAAGAAACTCCGATCATTTGTTAGTTAGGTACTTTGTGCTACATTGTTCACAACTCAAACTTTGGTGAGTTCCAAGGTACAATACCTCATCCTACTCGTCCAATGTAAAAAAGGTACAGGTATGTAAAGGTAGGGGTGTAACCGCAGATCCGCTATACTCGGTAGCACAATATGCTAGCTAAGATAAAAGATAAATCGAGGGGCGGTGAATATTTCCCACCATATCGTCTTTTCTTCTTGCAAGGGGGCCATTCTGGTATTCTGATAGCTCAACACTTCTGAGACACTTCTGAGACTGAAATATATAAATTTTGCTTTTTTATTTTATTCTGTCTGTCTCCTTTTCTTCTGAGCTGTGAGATCTTCCGCCATAATTCAACATGTCTAATCTTCCCTCCGTATATATCGTCTCAGCTGCTCGAACCCCCGTGGGGTCGTTCCTAGGGTGAGTTTTACTTTATGCTACGAGCTCCCCCTCAGCTTCCCCTCTTCCCCTCCTCTCTTCTTGATATACCTATACCTAGTTCGTGAAACTGACACTCGAATTACTAGAACGCTGTCGAGTCTCAGCGCCACTCAGTTGGGATCCCACGCTATTAAGGGTATGTCTCTCCCATCCAGGTTGCACAGCTTGACCGGGTAGCACACTTACACGATCTGTCTACAGCTGCCGTCGAGCGAGTCCCTCAGATCAAGGCCGAAGATGTAGAGGAGGTCTTCTTCGGTAACGTGCTGTCTGCCGGGTATGTCTTATTCCTATAGATTGTTGGTCAACGAGCAGAGTGAGGGGAAGCTAACAGTAGACATCTAGCCTTGGACAAGCACCCGCTCGACAATGCGCTATCGGTGCTGGCCTTCCGGAATCGGTCGTCTGCACTGGTGTGAACAAGGTCTGCGCTTCCGGTCTGAAGGCCATCATTCTGGGTGCCCAGACCATCATAACCGGCAATGCCTCCATTGTTGTGGCCGGCGGCACCGAATCCATGTCCAACACCCCGCACTACCTGCCTACCCTGCGTAACGGTGCCAAGTTTGGCGATCAGACCCTCGTCGACGGTATGCTGAAGGATGGTCTGACCGACGCCTACGCCAAAGAACACATGGGTCTCGCGGGCGAGCTATGCTCCTCCGACCACGGCATCTCCCGCGAGCAGCAGGACGAGTACGCCATCGAGACCTACACCCGCGCCCAGAAGGCCACTGCCGACGGCATCTTCTCCAAGGAGATCGTGCCCGTCGAGGTCAGCGCCGGCCGAGGCAAGCCCCCGGTTCAGATCACAACCGACGAGGAGGTCAAGAACCTAAACCCCGAGAAGCTAAAGACGGTGCGCCCCGTCTTCAAGCCCCAGGGTGGTACCGTCACCGCTGCCAACGCCGCTCCCCTTAACGACGGTGCTGCCGCCCTCGTGCTCATGTCCGAGGCCAAGGTCAAGGAGTTGGGCGTAACGCCCATCGCCAAGATCCGCGGTTGGGGTGACGCCGCCCGCGAGCCCCAGCGCTTCACCACCGCACCCGCCCTTGCCATCCCCAAGGCTATCAAGCACGCCGGCCTGACAGACAAGGACGTCGACTTCTACGAGATCAACGAGGCTTTCTCGGTTGTCGCCCTAGCTAACATGAAGCTGCTCGGCCTCACTAGCGACAAGGTCAACGTCTTTGGTGGCTCCGTCGCTATCGGCCACCCGCTCGGCTGCTCCGGCGCCCGCATCGTCACCACCCTGACCACCGTCCTGCGCGAGAAGAAGGCCAAGATCGGCGTTGCTGGTATCTGCAACGGCGGCGGCGGCGCCAGCGCTATCGTCATCGAGAGCTTACAATGACTACATGAAGGCGGGGAGGAGACGGTAGTCCGCACGAGACGGGATTCACGAATATAACGAAATGAGTGAACGTGTATGGATCTGTCCGAGTAATGTTGCAATGCGTCGAAAGAACTATGGCCATTCAACTGCCACAATGATGAAAAAAAAATGAAAAAATAAAGCGTAAGCAAATGAAGAGCTTCTTTTTTGGCTCCGGGATGGGGAGAATAAGAGATTTAATACATACCCAATATATCTACCTTATCTAGCTTAACTAGATGTAGTAGTTAATTCTACAATTCTGAAATCCCCATAAAACTGACAGGCCATGTTATTCTTCTATGTGATGTCCTAGTGCAAATACACTAACCTAACACTATGTACTTCTGTCTCAGTTTCTAAGTCTTTGAAATAATAGTATGTTCGCTGCTATGGAAATCACAAAAAAAGCACCAGGACGACACGACCATCGGGTTGTCGGTTAGCATATCTATAATACAAACTAATGAGAAAAGCACCATCATCCTATCCGCTCTGTTCAGCCTCAACTGCACGTATGCAACGAAAAGAAAAAAGAAAAGGGGTCGTCGCGGGGGGTAGGATATATCCACTCAAGTGCCAACGCCCCAGCGCCAGTCGTGATGCCTTTATGCTTATGCGTAATCAAATCTCACCACCGTCTAATCACTTATGGGGCTAGGTAGTCGCCAAGCCGAGAAGTCGTCCTCGAAGGTGGACAAGGCATCCACCTATTCAAGCCCTTCCATATTCTCGCCGTCTTCTCCCTGGCCGTTGGCATTGGGCGAGACGCCGTCCTTGAACCACTTCTGGAAGTTCTCGTTGACTTTCTGGACCTCGTCCTGACTCATCCCCCGCATCCAAGCGTTATTCATAACCATCTTCTCTCGGAACCGCTGCTCGCGATGTTCGGTGATGGCGCGGCGGTACTCCTCGACCGCGGCCTTATCCTTGTCCTCGGGTTCTGTTGAATAGACAAAGAACTCGGACGTGTCCTTTTCCCAGACGATCTTATTGGAGTTGATGCAAATGCGCAAGACTAAACCTTCGTTGTACATGAGAGGCTTCGGCACATTACCATCGTCAGAATCGGCTTCGGTGGATGGCAAGTTGCGAGCAAGGACTGTCTTCTGAAGGCGAGAGCGAGGTACCCCCTCAGTAGGCTCTACACGTATGTACGAGGAGATGTAATACTGCCATCTGTCGCACAGTTCCATCTCATCCATGTAAAATGTCGTCTCGTCACGTTGCAACCATCGCGCTGTAGCTTCACGCTTATGCGGGAACTATATGTGGTGATTAGCGGCCAAGTAGGCAGAATTGGCAGATAGAATGGTACTTACCCAGCAAATAACGAACATATCACCATCCTTAATACACTTCTCGGCATACTTGCGGGCGCTAATCTCTGTCTGATAACTGGTCATATCATTATGTCGATTGTTCAGGAAGTGGTGAATGAGATCCGGCGTCTTCTCCTTTGAGTCGAGACTGGTGCACGTCAAAGAGAGACGGCATAGCGTCTTCAAGAGGTCTTGGATCGTATATAAAGTCCAGCCCTTCTTGAGATAATAATGACGGAGCACTTCTTGATATCGATTCTCATCAATCTCCCCGGTAATATAGTCTTCAATAAGTTCGACCGTTTTTGGCCAGAACGAGGCAGGGTCGTTCTCATCGAAATAGTTAAGCTCATTGACGGCGATACCAAGATCCTTTGCGGGCTTCTTGCTCTTCGATCGGGCAATTTCTTGCAAGACGCTCTCCTTACTATCCTTGACGTCCTTGAGACGCTTGTATAGCGTCTGGAACACGGTGAAGAAAACATAAATAGTCTGGTTGCAAAAGAAGTTGTACCACGGGCGAGAAAAGAGCCCGTCAGCTCTCAACTCGCCGTCGGTATCCACGAGCGGATTGTCACCTTTAACAACCGTTGCTCGGGGTACTATAGGCAGCCACCGCTCATTAGATTGTTCAGCAGGGAGGGAGTCCTCTGGTGCGTCTGCCATCTCTTCTTCGTTCGCAGACCCAGCGTCCGGTGTCGTCTCTTTGCTGCCAGATGCAGCACTATCCTCCTTTTGGGTCCTAGTCTTGGCACCGTTACGGCCAGGATCCAAAACGCCGCGGAGTAAGTCAGATCTCTTGCCGTTACGTCGGGCGCGACCGTTAGTCAGTTCCGCAGGAAGTTGCTCCTCGGCATCTTCTTCGCCGGACTCGCGATCAATATCATGGAGCCGATCTTGCACTTTTTCTTCCGACAATTCGAAGAAACGCGGGATAAACCACTCGAAAAATTCAACGATCCGCTCCTTTTCCGAGGTACTATGGTGGCCGTTATTCGTACCGTAGAGGACCATGAATCGGAGTAGGTCTAAGATGACCTCCTGGTCACTCAGCTCATATGCAAACTGATGTCGTGGGATTTTATTCTTCGAGCTGCGCAAGCGTCGTTGTTCTTCGTGTTTTGTCTTAATGACATCCACTAGGTGCTTGGCAGAGAGATTCCGCTTGTCATTCTGTTTAACCTGGATACCCATGTGGTCAAGGCTCTTGAGGTGCATGATCTCCGTCTGCGCCTGCCATACTTTCTCCCATTCCCTCTGTGTGAATCTCCACTCCTCATCCTTTTGCTTAAGCCGCGCAAGGACGACGGGAACAACGGCGAAGGGGTCCGTAAACATATCGCTGACAACATCAAGACCCTTCTCGTTGCCGTAGATCTTCTTCAGGACACGCTTGAAGATAGAGGTACTGGAGCCTCCGAGTCCTGCTGGCATCTGGAATGTTTCTCGTTCCTGAGGAGTTAAGTTCAGCATCTGCTGGGCGATGGGCTCGAGTAATTGTATGCACTTGACATTGGCTTCGATATTGAAATCGTAATCGTGCCGCTCCTCCTCGATGCGATGAAGGCCCTCTTCGAAGGCGTTCTTTCGATGAGCAACAAAGCCCGAATCTTCCGAGGCCCAGGTAGGGTGGGATGCCCACTCGTCGTTGAGGACAGCATTACACATCTCGTCCCGGCCGCCACACGGCTTGAGTTTTTCCTACGACGGCACTGTTAGCGGATAGTGTTACCTTTAAAGACTGAAACATGACTTACCCTGCGAGGCAGCAACCTGTAACTCGGTCCAATAGCCCGACAGTTGCTCAGCGAGACCTTCTCCGTAGGCGGCCTTGGCCTATTCTCGATAATCTCGTCAAGACCCTCATATCCTACAAAGTTCTTGAACCAACCCATCAGCTCAGCACTGCCTCCGATGAACTGGCTAGACTTATGAACCAGATCATTAGTGTCGATCAAACTCTGAGAGTACATGTTGCAAAGTTTCAAGAATTCATTCATCGTAGACCTGTTTCCGATGTATTTCTTAACTTTCTCGAAGAACCCCAGTTCGTCTGCCGTCGCGTTTGCCGACGACGTGGGAGGGAGAGGTTCAGGAAGAATTGGGGTGAGTGTGGGCTCGATCGATTGTACGTCTGTGGCCAGAGGTTTGTGATTAAGTTTCGGTCGCTTGCTAGCAGGACCTACTCCAGGAATCGAGCGTGATCCAGGAGCAGGACTGTCAGCGATAACAGGCGCTGGAGGCGCGGTCTGCTTCTCATTGCGAGGACGTTTTTTATTGTCTTTACTTGCGCTGGCAGGAGGCGCGAAGTTTCCGACGGGAGGCATCTTCTGGCCATCCCTCATATTATGCCCAGGCTGCGGCGTGGTCTGAGTGAGACCGGTCATGGCGAACATGTCTTCGGGTTTCGCACCGTTACCCTTGTTCGAGGCCGCAGATTCCGGTAGGAATTGCTTAAAATCTTCCAAAAGGTCTGGCGCGGTATTGAAGAGGGTGGTGACTTGAGCGTAGACGTCTTGTATTGGTTTCTGCTCTCGTTGGTAGGTCTGTAAAATCTCGAGAAACTGCTTGTAGATTTCGGGTTTATCTTGGAAGCGGTTCTGCGTGCACAAGTTAACAAGTTAGCAAGTTTTGTTCAAGTATTCCACCGTGCAAATTTTTGTGGGGTTAGTTAAAAGAACTACTTGTTAATGTGCTTTTCAATTATTAACTCACCTTGATTTTATTCACATAGCTAATAGCATGATTGAATTCAACTGGTCCGCGCTTCTCCATATTTGCCTGCTGGTTTCCGCTGCCAGGCACCCCTTGCGAACCACCTGGAGTTGGTGTGAGAGCGTTGCGGGTTGTTGGCGCGTTAGGTGTAGTAGAGTTATTTTGTATCTGAGATGTACCACGATGCTGTTGATTTCCTGCGCTTACACTATCAAACTCTGAGGGCTGGGTTTGAGCAGCTCTGAACAAGCTTGGACCATTTGGCGCGGGGGCGCTGAAAGAGGCTTCTGGGCTTTCGATGCTGTGCTGAGGTTGTGGTTGTGGTTGCGGTTGCGGCTGTGGATGTTGCTGCTGCCAGTTGCTCGTCCGGTGGTTGAAAAAAGGTCCGTTCGCTCCCGGTTGACCATGCGCCCCGTCACCTTGATTTGCTCTTCCTGTAATCGATTGAACTGTTGTTCCCATGGGCGTAGTGACGCGAATTGTATTTGGATCGTTTCCTGCACCACATTCGATTCTATATCCTGGCGGGAGAAAAGTGTTAAAGCCTTGAATGAGATTCGGATGGCCGGCAAAAAGTTCTGATACGCGGTTGATGACACCAGGAGTGTCAATTCTAGCCCTCAGGTCAGCTTATACTCATCATGTTTATCTCGGTATGTCGACTAACGTTTGACTCTTGAAGTCTTTCATGATATCAAGGAATTTATTATACACGTCCGGTTGGTCGGCAAATTGGACCTTGACTTGGTCTAAGTAGCTGAGGGCGTCCTGAGAAGACTATACATTAGTGCATAAAGCAGACAGACAATCGGATTCAAATTTGTGCAAGGAATTGAAGATTATCAAAATGAAAGGGACATTCCCCATGAGGCTCAAAAGGTTTATTGCCCATGCGCTTTTCATAGACTTGAGAAGATGTTCGGGTAAGGGAGCAGGGGAGTAAAATAGTGTAAAATAATATGCCTAGCGGCGGGAACAGCAAGTACCCGTCCCACATAAAGAGGTAATGAACGCGAAAACAGGAGCCTGGGTAAGTCTGCTGTCGAGAATCTTCATATGATGGACAATAACACGATAAATGTAGTAGACTTACATTAAGTATAGGTTGCTGCCCCTGCGGCATGCCACTAGCACTACCGTTGGGTAATGGGTGACCCCCTGGCATCCCAGTGCCATTCCCACCGAACGGTATACCTTGCGAGGCTCGATTGCCTTCTTGCTGCAGCGGACCACCAAATAGATGTGCTGCAGGTCCCGAAGAGCCAGAGGGTCCCGAATTGTGACCACCTAAAGCTCCGAACATCTGGCTCGATGCGTTCTGGGCATTATGCGGAAGTGTACGGTTCGACTCAGCTTGCAATGGACCGCCAAATGTGTTTACGGGGCCGGAGGGAGCACCGAGAGGGATAGGAGGTCCCGAGCCTCCATGAGTCGCTAGAAGACCTCCAGGACTGTGGATGGCACCGGGGAGTCGCGAGGCGACGGGCTGATGGATCTGTAACGACGCGGTATTGCTCTGGCGGGGGGTCCCAACAGGGAACTGATCTCTTTGATGTCGCTCGGCCGACTCGCGGTCGCGATGCGACATTTCCTCAGAATGGGAGTTCATTTCGCTTCAAAGTCGCGGATCTGATAGTTCAAAACGTCAGTTGAACTACTTTAGTATGTGCTGAAATGCGCGCGTTGCTGCGGATGAAACCCAACGAGGCCGGTCAGGAGATAGACAGACCGAGAGTTGGCCCTAGAAACCATCCATCCAGGAAAAAGGAGAAGGGATAAATCGCGCTCCTCAGAAAACAGGGTGAACTTACTTTCTACATGGATACGATTCTATCGAAGAGAATAGGATGTAGTATATGATGTCGTCTTTTAATTTCTGGTGAGAAGGAAAAAGCTGAATGAGATCAAGCCGCGACAGCTTAGAGACAAGGTTTCTGCCGTGCGATCAGCGGCGGCCGATAACAAGCAGAGTGGCTTTCTTTATTTTATTACGACGGTCACATGGAGATAAGAGAGCAAGCGGGTTGCTTATTGCTCCAAATTGAGTTTAGCGTTTGGTGGAGATTTATGAGCTATGTAATACCTACCGTACAATACCGACCTCGGTCATAGAAGCCGTATAAAGCTGTATAATTCTCAGCTTAGTGGGTTCTTATGTCTTAATAACGAATTATTTTCACATTTATTTAGATACGCAGGTATTTATTCAATATTTCAGAACCGCGGTCATATTAAATGTTCTTGATACACTTCCTTCCTTACATACTAAGGTAGGTAGGTACCTAGGTAGGTAGATCAAACACCCAACCGGCCCAAATTTGACCATATTTGCTCCCACATACCGAGCTATGTAAGTCAAAATACCATAGGCCTAAGCAAATCCCTAATACTAGGTACCTAAATTACAGAAGTTATCTGTACTATTAGTAGGCTGTATCCTCCCAAACTCCATTCATAAGCTGAACCAGTACCAAAGCCATCCCAACAAAATACATCATAGACTATAGTTACCTATATAGTGGTCGCTCATCAATTCAAACAACAGTTCCTAATGCCATATTATACCACCTAGTACAGTTTTAGCGTCTATACATAGTTTCGTACTCCGTTTAGAATCCATAGCTCGCCATTCCCAACTCGACTCGCGATACTATCTACTTGGATCCCGTCAGGTTGGATCTAAGATTGTCAACTGTATATTCGTTATCAAAATGCTAAAAAAAAAATCAACTCACCACTCTAACACCATCTTTCATCTCCCACCATATTTCTCTGTCCCCGTCAAGTAGCGTCTTAACCTTCTCCCCCTCTTGCCAAGGGCTAACAGAGACTACATGCGCCTCTACGAACCGCCTCAAGTTCCTGTGAGCTCTATCTTGTCCGTCCTCGCCCTCATATGCGTTAGTGCCAAGCGCATCGTAGTCTTTAGGGTTTTCCCAGGGTTTGCGCGGTAGCTTGTCGACGGCTGAATTCCGCGGGGCGAGGACGGTACTGTTTTTAGACGAGTCGTCGAGGCGGGAGGATATCGAGGCGATGTCGCGGGTGAATCCAGCGAATATGTTGATGCTACGATCTCGACCCATCACATCAGAGATAAGAACTCCTCCTTGGGGAGATGGCTGCTCGGAGCCTCCAGGTTGTTGTGATGGTGGCATGACGGGACCGATGTCCATGAGGGGCTTCTGGGCGTTGGATTTCATTTGTATACCGTATGGCAGAGCGACGTGTTGGGTAGATACTGTCGCTGTTAACAGTTGGAGGCAATACAGCGCCAAAAGCTTCATCTTTCTAGAAGCTAGATAGATAGTAGAAGAAGGTTATCTGCAATTGTATTAAGTTATAAGATAGGTAGATACTAAATGATGAAAGTAAATCAATACAACCACTCAGGTTCTACATAGATAAGGATCCACTACCTAACTTTAGGTACGCTTAGCGGGCCCCGGCATGACATCACCCCTCCAGACTTGAAGCACCTGATCCCCGCCCAATATGTACATTCCTTACATTCGGTACCTTTTCTAAAACATTCATTCCACTACCTGTACACATTATCACAGCATAATTGTATAGGCTTAGCTAAGAGTCAAAGTTGGTATAACTACGTGACTTTATAGTACGATATGAAGTAGATGGCAAAGCATCTGCAGGTTCCCTTGCTTAAACTACCTTGACGTATTCCGTAGAATAGCCCCATTCGACTTTTAGCGAATAATATTTTCACCTGAAGAATATATAATATAATTTGAAGGATGCTATTGCTTGCTTATTAAATACGTACTTGCATTGCAGCACCTGCAATAGGCTAAATATAGCATTGTTTGATTAACTACTCCTTAAGACTAAATATATCTATCGTCCAAATAGTTATCCTAATACTACTAGTTATACTACTATAAATATCAAAGTATATGAAAATAAAACGCGAAAGAGGGATGGAATGATGATTCGTGAGACATGTCTTAAACTAATGTTATTCGGTAAACATTAATTCCAAGGGCAACGGACATAAAGCCGTGTTGTTCGAACACCATTGCGCACCGATGAATTTGGTAGCGAAGACGAAAAGCCACAGCATGTTACATCTGTGTCGGCTACTGGTACTGTTATCTCGCAATACGACGTTATACAGCACCAGCCATCCTCGATTATAAGCGAATCTCTATATATAAATAGCCAATGCCATATTTCAAGAAACTCATTCCATTCTCCAGCCGAGTAAAGCAGCAGGTAAAGGGAAAAAAATGTGGCTGATCAACACCAAAACCCTGGAGCTCGAATTTGTTGCGAGCCCTAAGGAGCGCTCTTATGCCGTCTTATCCCATACGTGGGAGGAAGAAGAATTGTCCTTCCAACAGTTCTCAGATAGCGCGAAACGCGCGTCGTTGAGACAGCTGCGCGGATTTGCCAAGATTGCGAAGACGTGTCAATTGGCCAAAGACAAACATATGCTGGAATATGCCTGGGTAGACACTTGCTGCATTGATAAAACAAGCAGCACCGAGCTATCCGAGGCCATCAACTGCATGTTCAGGTGGTATCAAGAGGCAGCTGTGTGTTTCGTCTGGCTTTCTGATATGGCCCTCGAACCAGCTGACCTGTGGGATACTCCGCTTGGGCCGTATAAGAGAATCACTCCGGACGTATTAAGAAGGTGTAAGTGGACTACGAGAGGCTGGACGCTTCAAGAGCTGCTAGCGCCGAGCGTCGTCGAATTCTACGACAAGAATTGGGATTTTGTTGGCACCAAGGACTCGTGGCTGTTAGACCCCATATCAGAGGTCACTGGAATCGAGCCCGAATTCTTGACCCGTAACTATTTAATCTGGTCTGCCCCGGTTGGTACTCGGATGCGATGGGCTGCCAAAAGAAAAACAACACGACCAGAGGATATAGCGTATTGCCTCCTGGGTATTTTCGAAATCAATATGCCCCTACTATACGGCGAGGGGGACAAGGCGTTTCTTCGACTTCAAGAGGAGATCTGCAAGCAGACCCACGACTTATCTCTATTTGCATGGACAGCACGGCCAGGTTACGCTTCTTCTTCTTTATTTGATTGGTATCGCGGTATCTTCGCTATTCACCCATGTGAGTTCGCGGACCTGCAGGGATTAAAACGAGAGAGCGTTAGGAATACCTTTCGCGGCGAGGTCGCCATCACCAACAAAGGTCTCCGTCTCGATGACGTCCAGTTATATAGGGCACCTAATGATACATTGATCTTACCACTCGGCTACACTGGCGAGCACCCCGACGATAAAGGCGAAAAATCATCTTATGGCATATATATCAGACTAACTCTTGATGGATACATCCGCAAAAATCCAGGCCTTCTCGCCATACTATCGGATGACCGCGTCTCTGATATACCAGCACACCGCATCTATATTAGAAAACAGTCAGTCACACCGTGGGCATGCAGCCAACTAATACAAGATAAATATGCCGGCGTGTTGCTCTTCCGGTTCGAGGGGCAGCCAGCTTCTAGAATCGTCAAGGTAATACCGCAAGAGTCGTTCGACTACAGTCTCAACGCATTTCTAACCGGAGGTAAAAAGTTCTTCGGCTACCTACGGCTGAACGTTGGCGGTGTTGACGTCGTAGTCGTCTGTTGGCTAAGAATGTATCTTTCAAAGTATTCTACCACTATGACACCAGATGTAAGGTACGGCTTTGCTATCGAGGGTAAAGATGGTTGGGACAGGTTAAAGACAATGGGCCTCGAGACCGAAATAACCAATCACGCAGGCCAGGATGGGACCATTCTGTCTCTTTTACCAAATGTCAAATTGAGCCACTCCGATGGTAGTGTTGCCACCTCACTCGATTCATCAAACATAAATATGGCCATGCATGCTTTTACAAGAGGCCAAAACAGCCATTTGATGGTCACATTTTTAAAGAAAAAGAAAAGGAGTCTTTTCCGTTAACCCTAGGCATATATCACCTTATCTACCCTACGTTCCCACCGTAAGAACTTCAGCTGATATCTAGGCGTGGCGGATCTTTCAGCTAAGGTAATGACAAATACCGCTTTTTGCTTTTATTATACGAACAAAAATGACGCCGGAGCAGATTTTAGGTGACTGGGTCCGACTAGGGATTACGCAGGGTATAAAGAATGGTACTGGCGTTGGATAAGCTGAGGTATTATCGTTCCGCACACTGCCGCGCGTTAAAAATATAGCGTATATACGTTTCTTCGATCATGCCCGACGAGCATGTGGCGGTCAGCCATTCGTCACTTCTCAACTTGGCCGCCGATGATGGGGATCTTTATTAAGGTTTTCCGCCCGGCCGAGTCTGCGACAAACTTACCTTAGGATTAAAACTTTCCCAAACAATCTCAGAACCATCCGTATTCAACCCACGAATATATATCGCCATGCCTGCCTCCGCTTCGAAATTAGTTGCGACCATCCGGGGTTGGACCCAGTGCGTCAACGAGAAGAGATGGAACGACCTGCCCAAGTATGTGCATTCGACATACAGCCAGAATGGCATAGAATACACGCCCGAGTCGTGGGCGACGCACCTTAGGGAGCACGTAGCTCCTCAGCTAGGAGGAGATATCATCATTAATGAAGACAGCATTATTGTGGATGAGAATACTCAATGTGCCTCGTTCTCGATATGGGTCAAATTCAAACCGGAGGTGCCTCTCCTAGGTTATCTACCCAAGGGTCGCGATATCCTACTGGTTGAACGAGGCTTTGTTTGGTTTACCGATGGCAAGCTGTCAAGAGCTTTGCTCGCGGTGAATAGCGACGACATACGCAAGCAACTAGCGGATCCCGACACCGACTTTGCGCCCAATCTCATCAGCGAGGAGCCCGTACCTAAGATAGAAGCGCCACTGCCCCGCAAGAAGCTCGAGGAAATTTACAGAGCCTACGTCGACAGCTTTAACGCCCGCCGAACCCAGTCGGAGTATGCCAAGTACGTCCACCGGCCAGAAGCCGCGCTCAACAACAAGACCTTAGCTCGTCGCATTATGGACGACACGGTGACGGCCATCCCGGACCTTCAAGTGCACATTCACACCCTAATAGCCGACGAGGAATCGCAACGCGTAGCAGTGTGGCTGAAGTTTACCGGAACACCCGTTAAGGAATACGCCGGATTAGTAGCCGATGGTAATGCAGTCCAATTCACCGAGCATGCGACGTATCAGTTTGTGGACGGTAAAATCCAGCGAATTTGGGGATTCATGGATTGGGATGAGGCAAGACAGCAGCAAAGACCCGCGGGGCCAAAACCTATACCGGTGGTTTAGGGGGTTGACGTTAAGGCTTTGACATAATACATGTTTTTGTTGTTGATATTGATATTTCGGGTTTCTACTTCGAACAAAAATGTCTCTAGGCTCTAGGTTGCCAAACAGTACTAGACTAGAAGACGCCTATATTTATTAGATATTCTTCTGCGAGGACAGCAATAATACCATTATTATTATTATTCTTTACGAATTTATAAATCTCACAAGCCAAACACTTTTGCTATATATTCCTCGTGAGAACTACCTTAGGTAACATGGGTTCTTATTAAACTAACGATGCGGCTACCCGTAGAGTGCAGACATCCCGCATTTTTCACATGCTAAAATGCTGCATCTCAATCAATCCTAGCCTGGCTGCAGCCTGGTTATGGCTCAGCGACTCCAGATTTAGATCAGCTGCCATGCGACCAGTATTGTTATTGCGTATTAAAGAAAATCATCTGATATGCGAGACTCTTTTGTGGGGGAGAAGGCCGGTTTCGTCTTTGCCGGTCCGGGGCGCAGCTTTTTGGAGGAGGAATCACATGCATTCGTAGTGTATCTGTCAGATTTGTGTTGTAGGTATGTACCCAATTGTATGTGTGCTAAATCATCCAATGCTACCTAACTACTATGCATATAGAACTCTGTCACTCTAACGAAAGGTAATTCCTGATAATCCGATCTTAACCCCGTGGGTTCCCGCTGTACAAGGTTTAACCGTCTAGCTCGTGACTGTGGGGAAGAAGCTTTAGAACCGTCAACTTTTGCCCCATATGTAAACATGTTTTGAATGTGGAGGATGCGGACGGGGAACGCGGTGGACACGACATATGTACAAACCTCGGCATTCTAGTCAAAAAGTACCGGATAATTCGGTGTACATCAATACACGCGACTGGGGCCGCTAGTGACATCACCTCCTCGGCAGAATATTATGCGAAGATCATGTACCTCTGCTTCCGTCTAGCCACTTGGATGCGAGTATCTAGCCACAGTGATAAAAATTAGAAAAGTACCTGGATGTCCTATATGTTAAACCAAAAGACCTGAATCCGTTGCCAATTCTATAAAAATTCTATTGGGACTCAAATGCGATAATAGCAAATTGTACGCATTTCGCTGTAGAATGTAGAAACGGACTAAGAGTGAGAAGTACCGATTACGGGCAAGTACATACACGCGAGTACCAGGATAGGTATCTGCTTGGCCCCTGATGCGCTAAGAGTTGACCTCGGCACGCCCGCGCACGAATCAGAGTGTCAGCAATTCAAAGTAAAGCAGCTTCGACTCGGCCTAGAAGGTCAACTAGTAAAACAGTTACAACGAAATATCAAGCCCCGACATCCCTTTCGCATTTCTTCTCATCTTCATCTTAAACATTTTCAAGCTACCTACTTCTCATCCTTTCCTCTCATTTCTCCTGCCACCTCTACATCATTCGCACCAGTAGCCAGGCAGTTCCGTATAATATATATCACACCAATCAAAATGGCACCTCGAGTAATCGTCGTTGGCGGTGGCTGTAAGTTTCAATTCCCTCCCCACCCCTCGTGAGCGTCATCATTTCGGCGACAACGAGCTGACAATCTCATCTAGTATCCGGTCTGAGTGCTGCGCACACAATTTACTTGGCCGGTGGTAATGTTGTGGTCCTCGATAAGCAAGGTGAGAATTGAACTTATTCGGTATACGACTCGATGAGCTTGGAAATTAACTTATTTATTTTAGGTTTCTTTGGAGGAAACTCAACCAAGGCCACATCAGGAATCAATGGTGCTTTAACACGAACACAAGTTGATAACAACATCAAGGATAGCGTAAAGCAGTTTTACGATGATACCCTCAAATCCGCACGAGAACAGGCTAGACCAGATCTCATCAAGGTCCTCACCTACAGGTCAGCAGCCGCAGTTGAGTGGTTACAAGATGTCTTCAATCTAGATTTGACTTTAGTTTCGCGACTTGGGTGAGTCAAGAGAATATCTCATTAGTTTCTCCTATTTATTAATACTAATTACTTTAATAGTGGTCACTCTCAACCTAGGACACACCGAGGGCACGATGCCAAGTTCCCTGGTATGGCTATCACATACGCCTTGATGCAGAGGTTAGAAGAGCTCGCCGAGACCGAACCCGAACGCGTCCAGATTATCAAGAAGGCTCGTGTCACAGGCTTAAATAAGGATGGTAACAAGGTCACCGGTGTCACATACGAGTCTGGCGGTGAAAGCGCCACTCTCGAGGGCCCCGTCGTTCTAGCTACCGGTGGTTACGCTGCGGACTTTGGCGATAACTCGTTGTTGCAAAAGCACAGGCCCGATACCATCGGCCTCGCCACTACCAACGGCTCACACGCCACCGGTGACGGTCAGAAGATGGTTATGGCTATCGGTGGAAACGGAATTGACATGGACAAGGTCCAGGTTCACCCTACGGGTCTCGTCGACCCCAAGGACCCTGGCTCGAAGTGGAAGTTCTTGGCCGCTGAGGCCCTGCGTGGTGAGGGTGGTCTCTTGCTCAACGCCGACGGCGACCGATTCTGCGATGAGCTCGGCCACCGAGATTACGTCTCGGGCATGATGTGGAAGGAGAAGGAGAAGGGCAAGTTCCCCATCCGGCTAGTGCTCAACTCCAAGGCTTCCAATGCTTTGGACTTCCACACCCGCCACTACTCTGGTCGTGGCCTGATGAAGAAGATAAGCGGCAAGCAACTCGCCAAGGAGATAGGTTGCTCTCCCGAGCATCTCCAGAAGACATTCACTACCTACAATGCTATCGCCGAGGGTAAGCAGAAGGACCCCTGGGGCAAGAAGTTCTTCCACAACTTGCCTCTGGACATCAATGACGACTTCCACGTCTCATTGATGGAGCCGGTCCTTCACTTCACCATGGGTGGTATCGAGATCAACGACAAGGCCCAGGTCCTAAACCAGGAGAAGAAGCCTTTCGATGGTCTATACGCCTGTGGCGAGTTGGCTGGTGGTGTCCACGGTGCGAACCGACTTGGTGGGTCCTCGCTTCTAGGCTGTGTCGTCTACGGCCGCGTTGCTGGAGAATCGGCCAGCAACTACTTGTTCCAACAGGCTCTTTCAGGTTCCGCTGGAGCTGCTCAGCGTCTTGGACAGATCTCCTTACACATTGACCCGTCTCAACCGGGCAAGGTATCCGTCGAGTGGGGAAGTGGTGCCTCTAGCTCATCATCCGGGGGTGCTGGTCAAAATACCAGTGCGGCCGGCCCTACTCCGAATGCGGATGGTGGCAAGTCATCCCAGCCCGCATCAAAGGCTCAGAGCGCAAAAAAATTTGAGGTGCCGGAGAAGGAGTTCACATTAGAAGAGGTAGCCAAGCACAACAAGAGGGAGGACCTCTGGGTTGTCGTCAAGGGTGTCGTCATGGACCTGACGAACTGGCTGGACGAGCACCCCGGTGGTCCCCAGGCTATCATGAACTTCATGGGCCGGGATGCGACAGAAGAATTTGAGATGTTGCACGACGATGAAGTCATCCCCAAGTACGCACCTCAGCAAGTAATAGGGCGCGTTAAGGGACAGAAGATCACTCTCGAAATCTAAGCAAAATATCAATCGGACGGCGCTTCGGGAATTGCTTTACATTTGCAAATATCATTTCGATTTTTCAACCTTATTCTTCCGCGCAATGAGATGCGCGAGAGGCACCCAGATTCATTCGGGCGGATAGTAAAATTAGCTGGGCGAGACGCTTCTTGTTACATTGGGCCGACGGCCTGGCTGTATTGATAGTATAGGACTGTGTCAGATGTATGATGTATCAGCATTTAGGAATATATCACTTGGATTTTGTTGTTTTAAGCTTTAGCTTGCCTTTATTGGTTTGACTTTTTGACTATATGTATTGATATGGCATGTCCTATATGCTTTATGATAGAATGATCAATTCTTGATCTGCAGAGACTCGTCAGACAGGTTTACGGTAGACTGTAGTAACGTGCAAAAGCGTCTTCCCGAAGCTCAGTATACAGCCTCCCCGATCGTGATCGCTATCTACGTTCACTACCTTCAATATACAATCTTCAGGCATCAACCCATACAAAGTCGTCTGGTATTCCCTTTGAAGATATTCTCTGCCCACTTGCAGCGCTATACTGGACTAGTTTGTACCTACGTACAGCTACCTAGGTACCCTCATGTAGCTAATCGTCCACGACTATGGCGCTCCGAGGTAGCCCTCTTAAGAAGATCGATCAGGGTAGCAAGTTTGACGAGGTTAAATCCTATGATTTCATTGGTAATCGTGGGAATGGGATGAGGCGCAATAGAGAAGATTACAACAAGGTAGTTAGTTGAGGTATGTTAGAGGTTATCCGGACTTCTCATATGGCCGCTGTGTGCTTCTTGGGACATCTATCTGCACGGTGAGTTGTGATGCTGATGGAATATTCTAACTAGGTATAATCCGATTCCTAGTTTCTTAAGGTATCCTGTTTCTGCTTCTCGATCTGATGGGCTGTTACCGGGGACTATGTATCTAACTGGAAATGAGCGGGTTAGAGAGTCTCTTGGATAGAGTGATGGACTGCTACTAAGACTATTTGTGATATTCGTTAGTTACTTTTTTCCTAACATGTATGTATTCTAGCCACGGGCATCGACGTCTAGTACTATAACTTACCAGAGCTAAATTTACATTGTCGGTGGAAATGTTAGTATATACATACACCGAACATAAACTATGTCTGGACATATAGGAGCCAGGAGAATAGACGAGGTATCACACATATACTGTTGGATTGCCGTTGCTATTACAACTCGTACTTATTAGTAGCTCTAGCTTGATATGCTTGTAGCTTTCTAATATAATGCGAATTAACTATGATATACCTACCTAAGCTAACAGCAGTCTCGGGGGTCTTTGACAAGAAGAATCATAGTCGTGGGACTTGATTCGTTAGCTACGTCTTGTGCCAAAGTCTTCGTCTTGAGAAGTTCGAAGTATCTTTGTCTACACTTGGCGCAAGAGGCCTGTTCAAATACTTTGGGTAGTTACTTGAACATATTCGAGTAGTGATGACTTTCTCCGTCTTGAATGTACGTAGCATCTTGTAGCTGTGGCCATATCTCGTCTAATACCCGGCCGCTCAACGTAAAGCATAAGAGCCCTTCCCGCTGTCCCGTCGCCCGACAGCGTATAGGTATGCGTAGTATTTTAGATAAGTGATGTCGGATTCGAGCGTGGGCATCATCACACCAAAGGTATATGAAATGGTTGGATGCTATAATAAACGGCGACTTGAAGTAACTCCTATGGAACGTTTCTTCCTACCGTCGTAGATGCAGGTAAGGATAGGCATCAGCCCGTTAGCTTTCCCCTACCCGATGTAAACCACCTCCAACGTGTAGTTCCCAACGTCACGAATCGACATGGCGTCTTCCATGCCGACCTTCAGGAGGAGACGGCGGTTTTCTGGGCCGTAGACATGCATCCGGCTGTTGATTAACGACCGTTAGCTCATTGTGACATTTAGCGTAGAAATATTAGAATAAACAAGCACATATACTGCAGCGGTTGGTTCCATTTTATCTACTTGTCCATCCGCTTCGAGTAGGTAGGCGGGCAGGCGGCGGTCCAAAGCACGTAGACATATAGGCTAACCACGGTATATCCCTTGTGCCCGAATGGCATCGTCGATAGATCCTAGCTTGCAGAAGCTGATGAAGTTTTTCTGGATCCCACCCGGACTATATTGTCGTGCATGGTCTAGTAAGAATAGGGGGTCCGCACCTAGAGTTGCGATGCTTCTACTCAGAGGACCCTCTTTCGAGACGAGAAGGACATACCTTATCAAGTCGAGCACATACAAGCCCCATGTATCGTGTCTGCACTACCTAGATTACCGTAGTTGTAGAATACCGGCGTACCTCCGCATCGTGCACGTGGAGCGCGCGCGCCCCTATTCTAAGGGAGAGTCTCATACGTCCTGCTACTTCGTGATGAGTTTGAGCATGGCTGCCCAAGTAAGTCTTCATCTACCATAAATGCGCCATCGAAAGCTTCTGAACGAGGGCGCCACGCATGACTTGGCGACTCTGAACGCCAGTGGGAAGGGTAACTTGGTTCTAGGAGGCACAGGCATAGTAAGCTTCAACTTTCTCCGGACGAAACGTTAGTCGCGTTCTAGACCAATAGCAATTGGGGGTTTACAGGACTCTGTGCAATGTAGGGACGTAGTGTATGTAGACTCCCATCCGCTCCCGCAGTGATGTACAGTGAAACCGAGAGCACCTCTGGTCTGGAACCTGGGAGACATAGGAAGGGCAACATGGGATGGATGGAATCCGACAAGATCCTACATACGCGCCCATCCTAATAAACATCTCGAAGAAGCGAGGAAATCGAGTTTCCGAGGACCACGCGCGATACCTACATTGTTTCTACGCTGGGGGGTTGAGTTAAAGTTTCTATGAACTCGTAGCCTCATTCGACGTGGATAGGGGACTGTGGTAGTAACATTAATAAGTAGCTGCTTTGCGGAACTCAGTAATTGCCGTACTCCATTTACGCTGGGAACATGCTGGGGTTTTTCGGTAGAAATGCTTTGCCATAAACACCCTGCCGGCTACATAGATACGCAATACCGGGCATGAATATATTTCGCTTTCCTTGCGTTAACATACTACGACCCTGGGTTGGGCATTCGGGAATATTCTATCACTTGACGGTAGAGATACATATATCCCTCGTTAGGTAGGTATAAAGCTAACATGACAAAGCTCCAACGAAGTATTTTCCTTTGATGAGTCTTATCTCTCTCTTATGACCAACCCGAATTTTACGGCCGTGAGCGTCAACTTTTCGTATAAGACACGGGTAAGCTTGGCCAGTCAGCCGTCAGCCCTCGACGGCGTCTTCGTCATCATCCCATTACTGCGGCTCGGGCTTGTCCGTGACAAGCGCCCTCCCCAGCAACGAATCGCGGGTGAAGCAAACCAACCCTCCTCGCGGGGTTTGATAGATAGCCTGCTTTCATACCTTAGGTAGGTAGATAGCCTACAGGAAAGGGAACCCCTTCTTCGAATTACCTACCACCTAAGCCCAAGTAGGTACCTACTCACGAGTACGAGCGTTTGCTTCAGTCATCCGCGCAAACAAGAAACTACCTAGCCCAACTTGAACCGAGGGATAGCAAAACTGGCTGTGACATAGAAGTGAGTGTGATACAATACCTAGGCCTTATTACCCTCTTAGGTATCGATGGTCGCACAGGCCCTTTTGACCTCGCGGCAAGGGGAAGGGCAAATGTTGGCAAAACTGCCCAGCTATCTACCTAGGTTAGGTAGTTACAGGATTGGGGATACTATAATTTAGGATGTGCCTGTGCGGCGAGGATCTTAAAAGGGGCCTTGCGATTGGATGACTACCTAGCAGCAGGTGTCCATAACAGGGACAATTTGGACACTGACACTGACCTCTTAGGTGAATTAGGTAGGCTCAGGACATGTATTGTACAATAGTGTAATACAGGTAGGTATACTACCTACCTATAGGTATATTGTAAAGACTGACTCGTCGTCGGCGCACCATATTCCCGGGTAGGTTAGGTATTTGGTGTTGTGCAGAATTCGTAACTCAGCCCGACAACGCGAGAAGGATCAAAAATATATTACAAGTCGCCAATTCTCGCTCATGATACATACGAGGCCACCGTCTGGTTCGGTCAAGTATTACAGCAGGTATTAATTCTTGCTGGTAGGTTGTACTACCTATCATAGATTCGAAATGACCGATCTCTAGGTATTGTATTGTACTGTACACACATATGTACCTCATCATAGCTTCATTCAATGGCGATATGTAGGGTAGGTATCTATCAATGATAGATCCCGCGGGTAGCAGCAGGGAGTGAGTGACTCTGGAAAGCTGCAGAATTCCCCTAGGGATCAGGAGAAATACAATGTCGCTGGCCGTGATGCCGATATTTCCCGTCGAAAAGGGCTTTTTTTCTTTGATACAAGGAATTGGCAACGATTGACGGAGAATCGGCTCAAGTTCTTTTGGAGAGGCGATGGAATTGATGGATGGCATGTACGTATATATTTTAATACTTACCTTACCGTTTTAGGGGGGGTTTATTAAACGGTATATATTTAACTCAATATTTTGAACTATACATATACCGTTTAATATAATAAAGGTTTAAATTTATTTACGTATTTTTAATTAAACTATTAATTTAATTAAATAATATATATACGGTTTTTTTATTACACGTGTTAATTTTTTAAAACGTATATAAATTTAAGTTATATTTATACCGTTTAATTAAAATAAACCGTATAAATATCGTTTAATTAAAATAAACCGTATAAATACCGTTTAATTAAAATAAACCGTTTAAAAAATTAAACCGTTTAAAAATTTAAACCGTTTAATTAAATAAACCGTATATATATAATTTAATATTATACGTATAATTTAATATTTTATAATAATTAAATTTAATTAAGTTTAATTAATTAAGTTTAATTAATTAAATTAAATTAATTAAATTTATTTAATTAAATTTATTTAATATATAACTTTATATATAATTTTATATATAATATATATAAATACGTATTTATTTTATTAAATATATATATATTACATTAAAAATACCATGTACGTACGCGTATAACGTGATTACTTATATTTATTAATTTATTTAAATAATGTTTATAATTTAATTAATTAAAATAATTAAATTTTATAATTTAAATTTTATAATAATAATTATAACATATAAATAAAAATTAATATATAATAAATAAAAAATAAAAATATAACATTATATAATTAATATAATATTATATATTTTTTTTTTATTATATATGTTTATATATTATATAAACCGTTTAAAATTTTAAACCGTTTAAACTTTTAAATTATAATAATACGATTTAATTTAATTTAAACGGTTTTATTATATAAACGGTTTAATTTAATTTAACGGTTTTTATTTTAATACGTTTATACTTTTTTAAATTGTTTAATTAAGTTTAACGTTTAAAAATATTAATTAAAATTTTTCCTTTCACGAATTAAAGCGGTTTAATTTTTTAAATAATATATATACGGTATATATACCGTTCCTTAAACCCCCCCATAGTCGGTAAGGTACATGTACTCAGGTATACACCGCATGTACCTTCAATTGGATCCACATTGGATGTAGAAGGCGGGTTGGATAGTGTATTCCAAATCTTGACTAAACCGCTAGAGTAAGGGTAGTTAAGTACAAACATCCAAGTACTATCCCATAAGAATGCGGCTTCTCATATACATTTTAACTTTGTACTCTGATTTTGCACTAATTACTTGGGAAGGTGATAGTTGCTCTTCCAAGAATTTTCATATGCATGGAATTAATCTAGCAGCACTGTTGATCGGGATAAACATAATCGAAAATCTCCTAGACGGAAGGAATAAAAAAGAAAAAAAAAAGGAAGAAAACAGAAAACATCCGTCGTACAAAACTAAAATGATAAAGCAGGGAGTAGGCATCCAAAAAAGGAATCATCTTGGCACCGGACTCGCGTGGAGTCTCCACGCCTGCGCCGCTATTGCTTCTTCGTGGGAATCATGGGGGCATCGTCACATCGTGGAGTCCCTGGGGGGTCTAGTAGCAATCATTTCTGGTCTTCCCCGCAAAGGCCTCTTGTGATCCACGCCTAACTGCTGGCTGGAACTTTTTATTCCGCACCAACAACAGTCCAGCTTAGCCTCTTTCAAGGCTGAACAGTAATTCGAGCACGACTCGCGACTCGTCGTCCAAGCAAAGCCAAGGACCCTCTGGGCCACCATTGAGGCATCTAATTCCATCTACCTACATAGTAAGTAACTAATCCCATCACGTCGACCGCTGGTCATCGACCTAGGCCCTCCCTCTAGTCCTAATGGAGCAACGTTGGAATCACCGCCATTTCGATAATTCATCTAACATTACCCTATGATGACTAGGCAATTGCAAGTATGCACCGCTTATTATTAGTTTTTTTTTCTTTTCTTTTCTTAGTCTGATCACCCCTACTTACGTCTTCCAGCTCGTCGCTTTCATGCCGTGTTACCCTCAAACTAAGACAAGTTCTGCAGCCCAGAATATGGATTAGGGGATCCCCGGGTTGAAGACACCGTTCATTGGCCTGCCTACCTCACCTCACCCTCGGGCTGCTCAGGTGTAACGAGATAGTACGTGATGCCATATTTATTACGCTCGTTCTACGAAATGTTAAGGCAAGGACCAAACGGGAAACCAATCTGCGTTCCTTGCAAGGTATCGACTGGTCGGCCGTAGCAGGTGTGAATCCTTCGGCTTCCCGAGTGCCGTCTATTTTTCTACCTTGCATAGCTGGGGACTTGGCTGCAAATATTGGCGTGCAACAATATTATTGCAAGCTCCAACAATTTCTAGGCGCCTAGGAACCATCAGGGTAGGCTTCAATACACTAGAGGACAGTCTTGTCCCCTTGTCCCCTTGGCGGCGAGGTTTGGTTGTCTAGATTACCTGTCCGAACATGGGATAGCTGCAAGTGCAAACTCGAAAGTCATGGTCATTACTTGCAGAATACATGTCGACAAAATACGTACGTGCTGCGTGCGTGGCTTCTATGCAGGGCTTCAGCTCCCTTGTTGTCAACCCACCCGCCAAGTTGAAAGCTGGGAAGACCGTACGGATCCGTAGGCGATCCTGGAACCAGTTACTTCTTGCATGTGGCATATTCTCTTCTCCATTGCTCCGCGGATTAATAGCCATGCGAGCCAGTAATATTCGCGTTGCCGACTAAGCGTACATACATAGTATAGAGATTCTCTATTCCCTTCTAGTGATAGGAAATCTATGACTGAATCGGCGCCAAGTCACATCTTGTCACCCTGTCCTTGCTCACCAACCCTCATACACATAGATAGTTATGCATCGCGGAACGAGAACCGCAACGAGTATGAGCTGTATGAGGCAGAAAGGAGACTTCTAGCGGTATTCTCGATGTCGTACATAGTACGATAGAAGTCGGTTGCCAGGCTAGTATCCTAGCTGCCTACATAGTAGCAAACTGGTCCAGCCCGGAGATCTCAGCGACTTACAAGAAACGTCCAGCTAGAGGCTAACCGGAATGGTGTTGGGGACATACCTATCTAGGTACTCTTCTACATATACATAGGTACTATGTTAGGAGGTACCTACAATAAATACAAAGACGCTCTGCTGCACGGGTCAACTGGTAAGCATGCAGCAAACTAACTTACATAGTACCGTACATACAATTCTGGATGACCAGGATGAAAATCCAAATTCAATGTTCAGCATCTCCTCTAAGGGGGGTCGTTGAATAGCAACCCCGTCCCCCGTCTCTGGACTCGCTTAAGCACACCCACTCTAGCCCAAGACCAATCAGACCAATCAAACGGGTCGACCTCTTGGGCCCTCGCACGCTGTTTCTCGTGCTCTCATTGCTTCTCCAGCGCCCAGCGTCCAGCGTCCTCTCTTCCCCCCCCAACAGCGTCTTTGCTGCATCCTGACCCTCTGTCCCTCTGGTTCTTCTCTCCCGCCTTTTCCCTCGCTGCCCTTTTTTTTTTCTCCACCCTGCAACTCGCACTCTATTATTACCCACTCTGCCACTCTGCCACTATCCATCCTATCGATTCCCGTCTATAGTATCCAGTATCCTATCCCCAAACGTATCTGCTCAATCAATGGGATACTGCGCAATTCAACCCACAACCTATTTCACCTATTTCATCAACCACGAACGACGCAATAATCGTCAATAGTGCCGGTTTGACGTCGAAACACCGTCACCATGGCGATAGCCATGGGTTGGCACAAACCCGATAATGTCGCCGGCTCCTCTGCCCCGGCCATTATGGTTGGCCTCTTCGTAGCGACCGGTGGTCTCTTATTCGGATACGATACAGGGTGAGCATCACGACCCGACCCTTCCGCTTCAATCTGTTTGGGTTCCAATGCGTTAAAGAAAAAAGAAGATAAAAAAATAAAGGTAGTGCGATGTGCTAATTTACCACTTTTTTATATAAAGGACGATAAATGGTATTCTTGCGATGACTTCGTTCAGGAGTCAATTCAACACCGGTTACCGAGATCATGACGGCAGTTATGACCTTTCCCCTTCTGAAATTTCCATCATCGTCGCCATCTTAAGTGCCGGTACCGTCGCTGGTGCCATCATCGCCGCCCCTCTTGGTGATTGGATAGGCCGTCGAATATCCATCATCGCCTCCGTCTGCGTCTTTTGTTTCGGCGTCATATTCCAAGTTTGCGCGGATGCTATTCCGATGCTATTAGCGGGCAGGTATGTTCACATCTGGCACATCTGGCTCTTCTAAGCTCTTCTAATTACCACTTCCGGCTGGGCTCTGGGCTTGCTAATACTGTCGTGTAGGTTCTTCGCTGGTGTTGGTGTCGGATCCGTATCTGTCCTCGTCCCTTTATATCAATCTGAGATGGCCCCGAAATGGATTCGTGGTACGTTAGTTTGCGCATATCAACTTTCAATAACGTTCGGTCTATTGGCGGCATCCATCGTCAATCTCCTCACTCAAAAGATGGCCGGTCCACCCGCGTATCGGATCCCCATGGGCCTTCAGCTCACTTGGGCCTGCGTACTATGTCTCGGCCTGCTCGTCCTCCCCGAAACCCCTCGATTCCTCATTAAACAGGGCAATAAGCATGCCGCTGGTCTCGCTCTTAGTCGTCTTCGCCGTCTCGATATAACACATCCCGCCCTCGTCGAAGAACTCGCCGAGATCGAAGCGAACCACGAATACGAACTCGCACTGGGAACTGCCTCATACCGTGACCTTTTTATCGGAACGCCTCATCTCGGCCGCCGGACATTAACTGGCTGCTGTCTTCAGATGTTGCAGCAACTCACCGGTATCAACTTCATCATGTATTACGGAACTACTTTTTTCACTACCGCCGGTGTCTCGGACCCTTTCCTAATCTCCCTCGTCATGAACGTCATCAATGTCGTATCGACCATCCCCGGATTATTCGTCGTAGAAACCTGGGGCCGTCGGAAATTACTCATCGTCGGTGCGCTAGGCATGGCCGTGTGCCAACTCATCATCGCCATATTTTCTACCCTTGCGAGCGACTCGCAGAGCTCATTGGTAGCCAAACTTCTCATCGTCTTCGTCTCCTTATTCGTCTTCTTCTACGCTGCCTCGTGGGGTCCGGTGACCTGGGTCGTTACATCGGAAATATATCCTCTCAAGATTCGCGCAAAGTCCATGTCGGTTTCCACGGCGTCTAATTGGTTATTAAATTTTGGCATCGCCTACGGCACGCCCTTTATGGTGGAAGAAGGAAACGGTTATGCCGCCTTAGGGGCTAAAGTCTTCTACGTGTGGGGAGCTTTCTGCGTGCTTGCCGCCATCTTTGTATATGGCATGATTTACGAGACGAGCAAGATCAGCCTGGAGCAGATCGACGAGATGTACGAGCGTGTTCCCTTCGCGTGGAACAGCAAAGATTTCGAACCGAGCTGGAGTTTCCAACAGTTGCGCGACACCGGATTTGCAGATAGCGGTGTCCCACCACCCGAACACGAATTACAAGCCTCTAGAACGACGACGACTACTAGTACTAGCGAGAGCGTACAGACGATACATACTACAGATTCTAACCCTAACGACAGCCAATCGGAAGAGGATAAGATAATAAATCAAATGGGTATGGGTAATGTCGACTTCAGCTATTGATCCTCGATCCTCGATCCTTTCTCATCGTCTGTCGGTACGCAACCGCCCGTGTCTTGGTTATGATGGCCTCCGCCTAAGAGGCTTAGGGTTTTCTGTTCTTTGGTGTTACATCGGATATATAAGCGTAGGAGTTCAACGCGGCGGAGTTTACGGCAACGGGAGTTGGGACTGCTGGGGAATCATTCACAATTGGGATTTCTGGGACGGCGGGCTTTGGTTTGGCGGGTTACTACGGGCGGCATCATGTCAAATCAGGCGACGCATCATTTTGGGGAACAATCACCGGTTCGCGTTGGGCATATATTAGCAACCGCCTCGAAAAAAGGCGCGAGGCGTGCACGGCCTCTGGGCCGCATAGGTCTCTCCTCCTTTTTTTATTATTATTCTCGTCTAGGAACTTGGGCTTATTCCTCGACATGCCCGTATTGTATACAGGCCAAGATGTCTTCGCGTTACGTTGTATACCGCTGTGTAGTGTAGGTGGCCTCGAGGGAGATGCTACTACTGTTTTTGCGGGTACCACAGCACGGCTTGAATAGATAGATAGACATGTGGTCGAGTTGATCTGTTGGCTAGCTAGCTAGCTGCTTGGCGAATTCGAAAAAAGTCGAAATGTTCAAACAAATATCTTGTCCGATCCACACTACGTGATTGTCAATGTATGTATTGTACCTAGGTTAGTCTTGTGTCAAATTTCAGCTTTGTTGTTGTTGTTACTAGGTACCTACACCACGCCCATGATCGTAGGTATCAGCATGGAAATAAATAAATTACTGTAAAATTTTAAGTACCTATGTCCTGTCGTCTATATGTACCTAAGGTGGTAGGTAGGTAGTGAGGTTCCCCTATTCTTGAAGTCAGCAGCCTCTCCTTAATAAGGGCGTGAGGGAGGGGCCAATGACCGATGGACTCCCCTGATTAAAACGGAACCCGGGGATAATTAATTAATCAGTCGATACATAGCACATATTCATTCCAATCCCCGGTAGCATCATCAATCACCAATCATCAAATACATACGAAGAATAAGACATGTGTTGTTTGTTGCCTTGCTATACCCGTATAGGTACCTATACGGTATATACACCTTGATATTATAATATACAACGCACCCCCTCTCCCCCCTCGCCATCCCATCATACCTAGGTATGTATTAATACCCGGGAACAGCTAGCTAGCTAGCTTAGGTAGGTATTGTAGCTCTAGGACCAAACAACGCACGCCAATTCGCTCTCTTGTTACTTACTGAGGTCCTTACGCTTGCTCGGCCAACAGGCACAATATCTACCTATCTATCTTAGGTACCTACCTACCTATTTATCCTCGTCTTTACTTATCCCTTAACCTAGGGTCTTCCATATTTGCAACCCGCAGTACCGCTACGAAAGAGAAGAACTCCTTTGATTAGGTAGCCATTAGTAACAACAACAACAAGTCCTCCTCCTGCCGGGTTCGTAATTCCTTTTCTCGCTCGCTGGCCATAAATAAATTGGCTCTCCTATCCCTTAATTACTACCTATGCATTCCCTCCTTCCCATCCTTGTTTGTATTTTCTTTTCCAAAGAAGTATAGTTAACTAACTGGGTAAAAGAAGAAGAAGAACCTAAACGAAGATGAAAGGGGGGGGACACGCGTGGAGTTATACATATGCCTAGGTAGGTAGGTATTGCAGCCATTACACACAGTATGAACACAATCCCGTCACTCATCCTTAACCCTTATACGTGAGGTACGTGAAAAATAGCAACGCCATCCACACCACGCGCCAGGTTGTCGTCCATATCTCCCTACCGACGACCCCTAACGTATTTCGCGACCGCGACGCCGGCTTCCACGTGTCGCTGCTGCGCTCCTTATCGTCGTAATAAGCATCCTTCCTAATTTCTATGCGAGGACCCTTATTCTGACCCCATCCCCATTTACCCGAATTGGCTTTTGCTTTGGTATTGGGTGAGGCTGCGCGTGCTTGTTGTGACCCCAGTCCGTTGGTTATAGATTGGCCGCGTGGTCTTGTGGACGACACGCGGGCCGAGGGGAATTTTGACGAAGATGTCCTTGACGAAGTTGGCGTCATGTCGGAGGCGAACCTGTCGTCACCTTCGGTCTTGGCTTTGAATATCGGGAGTAGTGCTGATGACGGGTGTTGGACAGGTTCTAAGGCGAACGGCTGGAGATTGAAAACGGGGAGGAGGAAGGCGCGCGCTACGAGTATTAGTACGGTTAACACGCCAAGGGCGGCGTACGTCATGTATGTCGAGAGCTGTTGTGGGAGTAGGCAGAGGTGAGTTTGCAGTGTAGTCTTCGGGGAGCCCGGGAGAGGGTTTCCTTTGTCGTCGATGGGGTTATACATAGAAACCATCTGGAAACCCGGCGTCGGCACCCCCATGGCCATGCTGAAACTCTTGACCGTGATCTCGCGGACATTTCCCTGCTCCGGCGAGTGTACCACCTCGCAGTAATCATGGTCATCTCCGGAAAAGGCATGTATTATGTTGCCGATGTTCTTGACCAGCCTTTCGGAATCTTCCGGATTCAGTACATTCTGGTATTGATAACCACCCGAGACGCTAATGGCATTTCGGTGATCCGGGATCACGGGCCCTGTCTGGTCTTTGGGCGGTTTTGCCGGAGGCCAGTGCTCTCTCATCGGACCGCAGGGTGTTCCTGGGTCTCGGTATAGAGGTACGTGGGTCAGGAGGATGGTCGGAAGATCGGGTGCACCCTCTCCTGGATCTATGGTCGGTAAGTTGCTATAGTCTGCTGTTTCGAGATCTTCGACTTTGTGCGCGAAAGCTAGCTCTTCTACTTCACCCCTCCAAAACCGCAACTCCTTCTGAACAGCCCTTCGCTTCGTTGCCTGAACTTCTTTCAAGAATTGCTGGACTGGGTCGTAAATAGGCTGCAGATCGACCTGGCCTTTCATGCTCGAGGTACCAGCACTCAGAGACAGTGTGTCCACGGACACAAAAGTGTGGTTTCCGATGACATCAACCCTGTTCGTCTCTCCGAAATATGCGATAAATCGATGCCTCGCGGGAACCTTCACCTCAGCCCCGAAACCTAAGTCGTGATTCCCCGGTAAACTTGAGATGAGTTTCCGTCCCCGCTGTCCCGGCCCGGGGAAAACACCGCCCAGATTCCAGTTGTCGTAGAATATGTTGCCGAACCTCGCGTACTCTCGAAGCCAGTAATCATCGCCATATTTTCTATGCCATTCCTTCAAATATTTTCTCTCTTCGGCCGGTCTGTGCTCTTTTGCCCATTCCGGGTCTTCGAAGTTCCCAATTCTCGTCTTCCACTCTCTTCCACCGTCAAAAAGGTCTCCCAGAAAGATGACAGTGTCTGGATGTAATTGATTTTGTAATTGTATATATGATTGCCGCATGTAATTATCGGTTATGGTCATGGTGAGAGGGTTGAGGGGCCACGGGCGACCGGGGTAGGAGTGAGGATCGATAATCTGGGGATCGGCGACGAATATTAATCGATGCGGAGTTACTCCAGCTGGCTATAATATTGTAATGTGTTAACGATTTTGCTTTGTGCTTTGCGCCTCTGGACCAATATGAAGAGCCCTTGGAGCTTCTCGATATCTCCAACTTACCCAATCTTCCCAATGATCCCAGTCGCAACTCCGTATCCGACTTGCGAATATCCAGCGTTCCCCCCACAGCAAGACGAGTATCCAGAGAGCCACGAGTAGATGTGGGAAGCTCAAGAGTCGTTGCCTCGTCATATTCTTCCTGATTTGATGCGCTGCCTTCATAGCCCAGCTCCAAGCTACTTGTCGACCCCGTCCGTTTATGTATCCCCAGAGTTGGCCCAGCATAACTCCGAAACAAGCGAGTATCTCGTCGCAGATGGATTGGGGCTCGTTATTATTCCTGTAGTCGTAATCATAGGAGGAAGATGTAGGCAGGGAAGACGACGGGTAGCCGTAGCCGTAGCCGTTGCTATAAGGCGGCGCCATTGCGATCGACATTGGTAGCCATAGGCGGGTACGTAAGCTGTATACTGGTCCGTGGGGATCACAGCTTGTTAGCTCTTTTAATAATCCGTATTCCGTATGAATTTCCAAGCTAGATCTTTCGAAGGTAGGTAGGTAAATAATAATAATATTAATCAAGGGCGAATTTAGGCCCTGTTCTAGACTTGTAGACTGCTAGATGCTAGAAAGTATGTAATTCTAGAAAAGTATGTAATAAGGTATTAACGTCTCTAAGAACGTGGAGCGTTTAAGCGTCGCCAAACGGTAGTGGAAAGATGGACCCTTGGTGCTACGTTAAAATGATACGCTATAACTTTATTTTTTCTGTGGGGTCTGCCAGCTGCTGCGCCCATGCCCGGGCACCCCCCTTTTTCTTCGCACGATCCAGATCTAAATCTAGCCCGGATACCGTTTAAAGACATGTTAGCCCCAACACGGAAATAGTATTAAATATGCTGTTATCCCTATGTATAACCTTGGGAGATATATGCTCTCTTCCAATATATGAAAGGTACCTATGTGGCAATATCTACGGCACCATAACCCGGAGGCGTTTAACGAAGGCTACAATATACGATATACTAAGCTTAGCTAAGCGACAAGAAATTAAAACTCGATATTCTCTCCATAGAGAAGCAAGTATATTCGTGTACAACTACTTGTTCGATTTATAACCTTCGTGGTTAAAGAGTGTACCAGTATAATAATCCGATATCTCTCGTGTCAGCATGCCTGGGAGCGCTCTTCTGATAAGAGCAACTCCAGGCGGGAATCTCGTAAAGTCAAGGGAATACGCCATTATGCCCATGCCCAATCGCCGTATATGGATATCAAAGTTATCCAGCAAAGATCCGTATGCGCTGCATCATAGCGCCCTTGCTGCGCGCGTAAAGAGTGAACCAAAATAAGTTAACTACCTACATATAAACCGGAATAGGCCGAGTGGCGAGGTTTGTTGATGCCTAAAGAGGGCATAGAACTAAAATGTCCAAGTGAATGATTCTTTGACGTCAAACGGAATCGAATGTCTATAGATTAAACCGGTTAGTGATTGTCAATAAGGGTCAACGAGATAGGTAGGTCGTAGGGGAAGATCGCTAAGCGAGGGGTGGGGGGATGCTCACCTGATATCAGTCGCCGACGCCCCTATCAGCACTTTAAATGTGCCCTCCTCCGCGATCCATGCCGGAACTGAGTCATCATAGTATCCAACTGCGTACTTATCCAACGGGATGATGATATGCTTAGTTTCTTCCGGCTGGAGCGATACCTTCTCAAACGCCACCAATTCTTTCTCGGGGCGAGGTAGCCTCGACTTGTCGTCTCTAACGTATATCTGGACCGTCTCTGAGCCGGCTACCCTTCCGGTGTTAGTGACCGCCATGATTAGGTGGATTGGCGCCGACTCCGTCAGTGTCCTCCGACTAAGGGACGGTCGGCCATACTCGAACGTCGTGTATGAGAGGCCGTGACCGAACGGGAACAGGGGTGCGATGCTCGTCCGATCGTAGTGCCTGTATCCGATGTATAAGCCTTCACCGTACATAACACGTGAGTTCTCGCCGGGCCAGTTGTGGTACGCGGGAGTGTCTTCGAGCCGCCGAGGGAAAGTTGTCTATTATAATTAATCGACAAGATCGATGGGTTACCGGGACTGCATAACTTACCGGAAGTTTACCACTGGGGTTCCGTCGGCCGAATAAGACGTCAGCTAACGCATTCCCAGCTTCTTGACCTTGATACCAAGCCTGAATAATGGCCGGTACTTGGTCCGCCCAAGGCATGGTTACCGGCGAACCGGATTGGTTGACTACAACGGTACGCGGATTAGCCTTTACGATGGCCTCGATCAACCGATCTTGGCTTCCGTCGGAAGGAAGGTCCATCGTCTTTCGGTCGTATCCCTCGGATTCCCACTCGGCATCGAGTCCGACAATAACGACGGCGACGTCTGCTTCTCTTGCTGCGTCTACGGCTTGCTGAAGATAGTCGACCTGATCTTCCTCCTTGAAGCCGAGGCGGCAACCTCCATATTTATGTGTCATGTTGAAAATCTTCTGCTTGGCGATTGGTCGAAGCTCATTCGTCATCTCCACTCGCAGCTGCACTGGTCTTCCAGCTTGCATATTAATGTCGACCATATAATCGATAGAGCCGTCAAACATCGCTTCGCCTTCTTCCGTCCAATTCCAGAGGTCGAGAGCCAACTTTCCGTTCACGTACAGCCTTCCGGGACCGACACTCATGAAACTGATCGTGTGCTTTCCGGTAGTCGTCGGCGTTATGTAAGTCGTTGCTATGGCTGACCATTCGGGACCGAGCTGGGCAAGTGGTGCGGAGTCCCATAGGAAGAGGTCGGTATTCGTCCTTCTCTGTGTGACGATTACGTTGCCCTGGAACTGATCTCCGCTAAACCAATCCAGAGTCACACCCGGCTCGCCCGACTTGTCGGTACAGAAAGGCGAAGCGACCGGAAGCCACTTATGAATGTGACATCCTTGAGCATATACAACTTCCTGCTGTGCCGCTGCTATAATGCTATCGAGCGGAAGTGTGTTGTAATAAGGGTTAAGACTGGCGCTACCTCCACCGCCGGCAATGGCCCGGTTGGCATTCGGGCCGATGACCGCGACCTTGGTGGTTCTAGGGTTGAGCGGTAGAACCTGCCCCTCGTTCTTTAACAAAGTTAGACCCTCAGCTCCCGCTTCACGAATCAACATCCTCGTCTCTTCTCTGTCGTCTTCACGCTCGGCTTCTTCTACCGACATATCATCCCCCTTGGTGCGTTCGACAAGGGTTAAGACGTTTTCTGCGGCGATATTTATATCGTCAATCGTAAGTTGACCGTCATCGATGGCTTTCAGGACCTTGTCGAAGCGCCACTTAGACGAAAAGGGGAACTCTATATCACACCCTGCCTTTATCGACTCGACAGTCGAATTAACGCCGCCCCAGTCGGACATGACAGTTCTAAGAATCCCAAATATCAGCCATCGATCTTGACCCGGATAGAGATTAGACTTACCCGTCATAGCCCCATTCTCCTCGTAGTATATCCTTAAGCGTATGGTTGTTCATGTCGGCATGGGTTCCGTTGACCAGATTATACGCAGACATGACGGCCCAGGGGTTCGCTTCTCGTACGGCTATCTCGAACGGTCGAAGATACAGCTCTCTCAACGGACGCTCCATCATCACCGAATCGATGGTAAGCCGGTGAGTTTCCTGTTCATTTGCTACGAAATCTGTCCGACTATCAGTTGAAGTTCCGAATGCTAGCGGGTAGGTGGTAGCGAACGCTTAATGGTCGCGGCAACCCCTTTAGACTGCAACCCCTGTATATACCTAGAGGCGAGCTTGCCGGTGAGGAGTGGATCTTCCGAGAAAGATTCAAAATTTCGGCCACCAAGAGGATGACGATGCATGCAGACTGTGGGGGCGAGGAGCACATTGGCAGACCTGGCCCTGACCTCATCGGCTAGGTGTTGACCAACTGTGTATACCAGATCTTTGTTCCACGTAGCCGCAAGCGAGATACCGCACGGGAACAAGGCTGCCTACGCAAGAAAGATTATTAATAAGGTCTTACAACATCGAGATCTTTGACTAACTTTGGTGCCCCCAACAAAGATGCCGCCCCGAGCGCCATTAGGGCCATCACTTGTCTTGATGGCTGGAATGCCTTTGGACGGTATCGACTTTGTTCGCCAGAAGTCCGCAGCAGTAAGTAGCGATACCTTGACGAATTAGCATATGACGGCGTCGAATTTCTCTGATCATATACCTTCTCCTCGAGACTTAGCTGAGCTAGCTTCTGTCTCGCTAGCAACCGGCAATTTTTAGAGGCGGCAACTTTCGGGAATGGGCTACCGGGAGGAGAGAATTCCGTATCTGGTGTCGTGTTACTTCCGACACTCTCGTACGGCGATGCGTTGGGGTCTATCCCATCGAACTGCGCGTCTTCGATATGCTCCATATTCGAATGATGGCTGAAGATGTCTATTATAACCAGCCCTTCCGGGGAAATAGTCACACGTGATCCACAGTGAACCTTGATATTTTCGGACGCTATTAATATTAGTTAATAATGAGCTGAGGGTTCGCAAGTACGTCGAGAAGACGGTGGAATATCAGTCGTCCAAAAAAGGCCCTGTAGGGCGAAGCGAAGTCCGTCAACGAACCCGGTCCCAAAGTAACCTTTTCCCCACGAATATAAGGGGGATCTCGAAGGTTATATGAGTCAAGTACAACTTCAGGGCCAAACGCCAAGGTCGAACCAGTCTTACTTATGTATTGATGGGAGGAGGCAATACCACGTCACGGCCGAGGCGATGGCAGCTATCTTCAAAGCATACGATGGTGACTTCGGTACATACGAAGGCAGGGGTAACAGAATTCGAATGGCACTATGCACGAAGATACTGACCGGGAGGACAATGCGGTATTTCCAATAACGGACGTCTTAGGACCACCGCTCACAAGTCGAGCAGGTCGTCCAAGGATCGACATGTTATCAATGGGTTTATTACCTAGTTTCGATCAATGGCATATGCCGCAAAACCGCCGAGAAGTGAGGAGTGGAGATAGAGTGTAGGTTCCGGAGTCGACATGATCTCTGGGTTGCTTTTAGTGCAACCATTGTCACTTGACAAGTCCGTCTACGAGGGACACTATATTGCTGGTCCTAACTAGGAAATACCCACATCGGCAGGAACGGACCGGAAGAGCGTTGTTTCAAGGTACTTGAGAGAAGACGAAACGAAAAGCACGCCCACGCAGCCACGCTGGTGTCGCGCGAATAGAGTGGGGGGCCGCTACGGGAAGTCTTATCCATTCGGACGTGGAGTACGGCGACAAGGGGTGGTATGGCGGACAAGGCGGTCAAGCGAGCCAAGATCCCAGCAGCGGATCACGAACTGAAAAAAAAGGGTGGAGAGATAGCCACAGCTAAACGGTTCCTGGTTATATACTCTCTTTTCCTCGAAGCGGAAGCATGACTGCGACTGTGATTAGCTTGTGTATACCTATCACGGTAGAGTGGCTATAGATTGGGAGGAGATCCATAAACCCTGTGAATTTATAAGTCGTAACCCTCCTCTATTACACGACATATATTCGCCGGGAATTGCAACGCTTCCTAGGCGAACCGGATGGGCGGTCGAAGCGTTACCTTACTTCTAGCGTAGCCACCTACGAGGGTTGGCCGTCCACGAGACCGGCGGAAGAGTTATACGGAGTATACATATGGCGAATCAGATCGCCCTAGGGCCTAAGCCTTAAGATGCCAATGTGCATCGCAAGCCTTTCTCAAG